TCCCACCCCCCCCCCCCAGCCACTACCTCCTCCACCTGTTGCCATCCTTTTCAACCACCTCTTACCTTGCTTCCACTCATTCTAACCGCCCGCTTTTGTTGTCTCGCCATCCCGCCTCGTTTTCGCAACCCCGGACAATACCACCCCTCCCCCCCTCCCCGCGCGCCTCGCTGTCCCGCAATCTCACATATTCCTCCCAGCTGCCGCCATCATTCTCACTCGTTGCCCTCGAGCATTTGGTCCAGGCTGTTTTCTGTTGTTACAGCGCTCGGTCAGCCTTTTCTCTCATTCTAGCTTCGAGTCATTGTCGTAATTCCTCCCTTTCGCTGCCGCCATCCTCCTCGCATGTTGTTGCAACCTAGAGCCGCACTTTCCAACTATTTCATTGTTGTGCACCCCCTCCTTTTTGCTGCTGCCGCCAACAGTTCAACCTTCCATCCTTGCTGCCATCACCCTGAGCAACCCTTCCACATCGCTCCCTACTGTTTGCTTGCTGTCCAACACTACGGAAAGGACTACCTTCTTGTTTTCTGCTTGCCAACCGCCTTTCACCCCCCTATGCCACCTTCCAAATCCTCAATAACCAACACCATTACTCTTAGAATACACTCTAGTTGTGTTTGTTTGTTTATGTTGTTGTTAATTCCCTTTCAAGTGTTGGTTGTAACCTCCTAATTGTTTTCCATATTGTGGTGTGAGTTAACTCCGGTATCATTTGATATCAGAGCTAGTCTAACCCTAGTCTTATCCTAAGGTTTCTAGCATCCACCAATACCCAACACCAAAACCACAAAAAAATCATTTCCTTTGCAGATTTTTCAAATCGACGACCCAAAATTTTTTCACACCCTACGGCATCTTTATACATCTTCCACCTGCCCAAACCCAAACCTTAGCCATGTCACTGACAAGGCAATAGTCGGAGCCAGATCGAGGGGAAAGGACGTGATGTCGTTTATGAGAAATCCACAAAAAGATGTATGGCAACCTTCTATGGAGGATGTATGGCGGAAAATTCTCCAACTGCAACAGAGGTTGCGCCTTCGAGAAGAGGCAATTTGAAAGGGTGACCAGTAGCTATAAGGGTGACTTGCTAGATCAAAGGAATGGAGTCCATAATATGGATTCCAGAGATGAAGTACCACTACCACAAAAATTTGACCCGAAATATCCAAGAAACTAGAACTTTGAAGTAGCGGTGGATTTGCTACATTTTGACGACCACTTGATCCAAACAAGTTCATTGAGGGGGCTTCTGACCATGGAGTGTTTTTTCAAGTAACAGGGAGTCTCGCTTGACATAATGGTGAAACTATCGCCAGCAAGCTAAAAATAGTGCATTATTTTGTTGAGAAAATTTAAAGCAGTTACACCAACGTAAGGGAAGATATAAAATCACACTACTTGTTCCCATATGAAATGGGAGATGTAGCGCCAATACTTATCAGCTCACTACAAAATAAAAGTTTAGACCCCAACTTCAAAAAATGGAGATATCACATCATCAGGCGACCACCACATCTTCAAGATATGATTCAACCCCAGGATCTTACAGCAAGAATACACCTAGAGGAATATCCAAGCTGACCCCGCCTAAGAAGAAACTGATTTAGAGTAGAAAACACGTGGAGCGAACCAATATTCTTAAATATATCCCACACAGAAAATAATTCAAGTGTCACGGATTTGGGCATACTGAATCAAATTGCACAATCAGGATAATGATCTCTTTCAATGATCAGAGAGCAGTTGAAGACAAAAATAGTGATTTATGAGAAATGAAGATTTCAGAGATTATTCTCAACTGTCGGACGACAAGACAGAGAAACTAGTGATTCAAGATGATCTCAAGAGAGAGAATCCTGCTGGATTAGTCGAGATTGTTCTAGCATATAGTGAGTCTGAGGTAATAGGCGTTCACACAGAGTATGATATTGTGATGCCAGAAACCACCTTTTGTAGGCATTGGAGAAATATCAGCAAGACTAGTATTGTATTTCTAAGACGACCATCAATTCCAGGAACTGATATCAGATACATGGCAACCACAAATAAAAGAAATTCAGATTTTCAGATTTACACTCTTCCTGAGTTGCCCCTCCTGCTTGTCAGAGATGAGGTTCTTTTGTGCCACGTTGGAAAGATTATAAGAAGTTAATTGAATATTATATTTAGTTTAATAGTGTACCCACCAACAGATGACCAGACAATAATAATGAATCACAGCTTTGGAAATTACCTTAAGAGCTTGTTGGGAAAGAAATTTTTTTACCGGGATCCAGGTCTTACCAGAGAAGAAAAAATATTTCTCCTAAATGTTTATACTTCAATGTGGTCCAGTTTGTCATAAATTATAATGACAGAAAAAATAATAATAATAATAATAAATATAATAATAAATAAATAAATAAATGAGGGTGACCAGAAAGACGCAATCCCTCAGATAAAACCTATTATTATCATTCGATCATCTCCTCAATTGCACCATCGAAGAGAGGGAGAAAGAGCGAGAGCGAAAGAGGAGAGTAAAGAAGAACGGGTAGAGTTTTGTGTTTGTGAAAGGAAGGTCGAGCAGCTCGGCACTGTGCTCGTGGAGGAAGGGGAGGCAGCGGTGTGCTGCCCTAGATTGAGCCATGCGAAGGAAGAGAAGGAAAGAGAGGGGAGAGGCAAGGTTGAGGGCTTACCTGGACCAAATTGAAGCCGAAAAAGAGAAAGTAGGAGGCCGTGCTCGCGTGCGTGTAGAGGAAGAGAAGGAAGGAGGCAGTGGTTGTGTGCAAGGGAGGAGGTTCGAACGTTGGCACCCTGCTCGCAAAGCAAAGGAAGGGGAGACTGTGTCGAGTCGAGTCGAGACCGAAGGCAAACTTCGCCTTTCCATGCTGTCAGCACCACCGGACTATACTCCTGCTAGCTTCTTGCAACTCCAACCGAAAACCACCACCTCCTCCATCTGATGTCATCCTTTCCAGCTACCTTCTTTCAACTCCAACCGACAACCAACACCTCCTCCAACTGCTACTAACCTTTCCAGCCACCTCCCACCTTGTTGCCACTCATTCCAGCCTCCTGTCTTCGTTGTCCAGCAATCCCACCTCGTTACTGCAGCCCCAAGATAACCCTCCATTTGTTGTCCCGTAGTCACATGCATTCCCCACCACTGCCATCATCACTTGAGATCGTTGCCGCCACGCCGAATAGCTGTTCTCAAACTGTTTTCTACTTTTCAGCCCCCTGACCAATCATTTCCCTCATTCCGGTTTGCGGTCATTGCCACAACTCCCCCCTTCACTGTCGTCGTCCTCTTCCCATGCTGCCACAACCCAAGACCACCCTTTCCAGCCATTTTTCTGCCATGTAGCACCTCCGATTTGCTGCCTCCTCCATTTCAGACTCCATCCTTGCTGCCATCACCCCGGGCAGCCCCCCACATCACTCCCTACTTTTTGCTTGCTGTCCGGCACAGGGAAAACAGCCACCTTGCTGCTTTTTGCTTGCTAACCGCCTCTTTCACCCCCTCGCCGCCTTCCATACCCTTGCCGACCACCACTACCATCCTTAGGATAAACTCTAATTGTGCTTCTTTGTGTCAATTGTTGTAATTTTCCTTTCAAGTTGCTTACAACATCCTATTTGCTTCCAGTAATAATATTTAATTTTCTTCTTGTGGTGTGGATTAACTCTAATATCAAGAACTCACAAAAATGTTAAAACAAAAAGGGAAATTTAAATAAACACCACCCAAATCTTATGCATTTACATATCTAATACCTAAGCTTTACTATTAATTTTATACCACTAAAATCTTTCATATCACACCAAAAAATACTACTATTTTAAGTTTTAAAAAGTGAAATACACATTTACATATATATAAGTAAGGTAGTATAAATGAAAGTTTAGGTGTTAGATATGTAAGCACATAGAAATTAAACGGTATGCATGTAAATCATCCAAAAAAAAATTAAAGCATTCCCATGGCATTAAATTATTTTTGTCTCTCGGCTGAAAAAATGGAGAAGTTTGTGTCACGCACCTACCAGATTTGGGAAATTATAAGAATTATACTTCGATAATTGCCAACACCAAGCTTAAACAAGGTAAGATTATATTATCTAAGTAATCATAATTCGCACTGTAGAAAACAAATCGAATACACCAGTCATGTATAAGCAATGGCAAAAATATTCAGAAGCCAAAGTCCATGTCTAAAAACATTGTTATTTAAACATGCAAGCTCACTTTTAAACAAAACTACGAAGTAGAGATTGCTACTACCAGTCATATTCAACTAGTAAACCACTTTCAAGAAGTACACTTCCTCCAGAACATGATCTTCCAAGATCATTCTTCCCGGGGTTGTCCAAATGATCAGATGGTCGCAGAAGCTTTACTTTATCTTTAATAAATTGCACGCTAGTACCTTTCAGCAGTTCGGTAAATGATGGTGCAATTTCCCAAGGATCTACTTCTGATGTACCATGTACAGGAGAATTAGTAAGGTAGAAAACAGTATGAGTAACGAGGAACTACAAAAATAAAATGCAGGATGCCATACCTCCTGACAGAAGCTCGTAAAGCAGTGGCTTGAAGACAAACTTATCAGACTGATCAACAAGAAGAACCTGATTATTCATTAAAGTATTAAATATAAGAACCAAATTTCATAGGGAAATTAAGATATCAACAGAGAAAAACATATTTTATCAGCAAATGCATGCCTCATGCATTCATGACAAGAAAGACCTTCAAGGCTTTTAACAGAAATGAGAATCATCATAAAAACAACTTGATAAAAATATTTAAAGAAAGGGATCAATATGATCGCTGGACTTCATATAAGGCCATTCTAATTCTAGAGCATTTAATGAGCCCAATTTGACCCATTAACTCCTGAAAACTATTTCCATTCAGTTCCCCACGAAACAAAGTAGCTTGAAGGTTAAATCCGTCAAATGAGATTATGCTTACTATATTGTGCTCATTTTGTCATATACCGCATCTCACAAAGATCGACCGTATTTCATACCAGAATCCTCAGGTCCATCTTCGACCTCCTATTTAGAAAAAGAGATCTAAAATGATCTCTTGACTTCATATAAAGGTCATTCTAATTCCAAACTATTTAATGTGACCAATTTGGTTCATTAACTCATGAAAACTATTTCAATTCAGTTCAACCATTAAACGAAGTAGCTTGAAGATTATATCCATCAAATAGGTTTATGCTTACTATATTGTGTTTATTTTCTTATATACTATCACGACCAAGTCTAGGAACTAGAGTTAACAAAGGCGGTACACACACTCGGATGCAACATAACAATCTAACAGTAAAAAAAGTCCACAATAATATTCAACTAAAAGAAAGCCACTAGTTCATGATATATAAATAAACATCAACTAACAAAATATATAAAATCATCCGGCTTAAAACAATAATAAAAAATAAAAGAGATTAAACATAAACGGTTTAGTACATATTTTCAATAGTTCATATCTTCTTGTAAACAAACTACATCTTATCAATCACATCAATCTAACATAACTTTTCTTGAAAAGACAACTAAATAACACATTCAGTTTACAACTTAGTGAATAATTACAACTTTATTATGCACCAAATTATTATTCAAATGCTAGAATATAAATGCTCAAGGAAACATGTTGATTAATTTATAAAATAAGCTTTGTACTTTTGAATAAAAAAAATTATTAAATCATCTCAATCAATTATATTTTCCATTTCCTTCTACTTTAAAAGTCATCGCAGGTGCACCATTAAAAAGTTGAACCAATAAAAGTACATCCATTTCCATTTTCATTATCATTCATGGGTGCAGTGGTGTCTTCAGCTGGCACAATAAGGCGACTCCAAATAGACTTATTTATGTTTTCTTTAAAAATATTTAATTCTTTTCCATCAATAAAATTTTCTTTTTTTGTACACTGCAAAATGTAAGGCAAACAAAATCTTAAAACAATAACTTCATTCTCAATTATCTTTTTCCAATCATAAAAGTGTTTTTAAACTTTTATGAAATAAATGAAATATTTCATTTAAACATTATTTATTCATTTAAGTTTGTTTGGGTCATTATAACTTTTATTCTTTGAAAACATAATACTTCTAAATAAAAGAAACTAGATCTAATGCATATAAAACAATAATTACTTATATTAACCTTTTGGAGGCCTTCTTATTAACTTAATCACTCCATTCATCGTCTACCAATTTATTAATGTTACTCAATCAAGTTCCTAAAGTACTTTTCAAATAAACATTAATTTTAAATATCAATTATTTTCTAAAAATAAAAGACATAAATACGGCTTACCTCACTTTCTTTTAACAAACCCAACAATTGCTCAATATTATTTATTTTTCAATTGTAAAATCATAATACGGATTACAATGTAATCTAACATTACTACTAAATGAACTTTAAATTTAAAATAATTGCCTCTAACACAAATCTAAAATTCTAACCTTCACTTTTATTTCGTTATTTCTCATTTCGCAAAATTCACAATTCAAAATTACTCCAAGTCTTTTGAATCAAAAGTTCTTCAAAGTCTATTTTTTAATTCTTAGTATTAATATTAAATTAAAAACATTATAATTAAAATAATTTACAAAAATAAAACATAAACTTTACCGCTGTTACTCACTTTCTAATTCACATATCCATCTACTTCTGCTTTATGTTATTTTTTGGTTCGAAATGAGATGTATTTGTCTCCCTTATATATATATTTTTTTAAAGGCAAAATTCATTGATAAAAAAGAGATGATACAAAGGTTTAGTGAGTGGGTACAAAGATGCCACTCACAGGGATTACACACGTATTCCCCAAAAATAAAACAAAAAGAAACAACTCCAAATCATGGTAGGTGTAGTCGGTAGATCTACTGTTCTAGGGAGGGAGTCCAGCAACATACATATGGGCTTCCGCCAAAAACAATAATACAGTCATCCTGAGAGTTACTGAGATCTGACATTCCTTTCTTCTTCTTCCTAGATTTGAAGACCTGTCAATCATCTATCAGAGGTAGTCTCGTGTGAACAATAGGTGGATCTTCGATGGAGGTAAATTGCTGATCTGACTCAGCCTGCAGCACACCTTGATCCTGACACTCCTCCATAACATGAGTACCCTCTTCTTTCGCAATAGGTGGATCTAAGACACTTCGGTAAGCATTTGCTACAAAATAATTCGAAGAATTTGTAATCTGAGATAGAGCTGCCTCAACAACAGTTCGCGGAAGCTACTGGTCTGGTTGGTGAGCTGGTCTGGTGGGTGATTAGCCATATGAGTCAAATTCTCATTCAACATTCCTGAAAGATTAACAGTGTCTGCTATATTTTCCTCCACATGGATGATGTTATTAGGACCTGCCGATCTCAAATATGAGTGAAGTCTGAAGCATTTGACAGAGGTGTGCCCAAACAGTCTACAATGATTGCAGTAATATGGCCTTTGTCTCCCCTATATATATAGGGGTGACGCACGCTGCTGCGTCTCCTCTGCGACTTCTGTGACAGAGCCGCACGCTGCTGCATCTCCTCTGCGACAGAGCCGCCCGGTCTGCGACAGAGCCGTTCGACACTCATGCAGCTTTGTGCTGCGGGTTGGCACTGGTTGCGGTAATGGCCTCAGGGCTCTCCTACGCCGCCACCCTCGTCGGTGATAACCCTGCCAAACTCTCCTATGCTACAGTGGTTCACAAACACAGTTCCCCTTTTCAACCCGCAGATAGTGCGATATTCCCGCAGATTTACTATGATTTTGTTGTTGGAAATGGAGATTGCAATCTCATCAAAAAAATAGAGAAAAAGGCGGGCAAACCAGCAATTTTCTTTTTTGACGCTGAAATTTCAACTCGTGCTGGAAAATACAAATTTACACTAGTTGGAAAGTTCCAATTAAGTTGCCCTAAGATGAAGATCATCAGGAAAGTTTTTGAAGACTTCAAACTGGTTGGGGATTGGCAGGTGGGTTATTGGGTCATTTCGACGGAAGGCATGTTATGATACAGCTGAGCACAGAAGATGATTACACGAGGATTTTCTCAAAGAAATTCATCACAATTGAGGGCAAACATATGAAATTGCTCAAATGGACCCCCAATTTTGATCCCAGTCATGAACCCCCAATTACACCTATATGGTTCTCATTACCTGAACTCAAGCTTCATTGCTTTGACCTACCTATCTTATATGCAATTGGGACTATCCTTGGAAAACCTTTGCAGGTAGACTTACCTACAGTTCATTTCCCAAGGCCCTTTATTGCAAGGATTTTGATTGAACGAGATATT